GATCTTCATCCAACCCTCTTGAAATTCGAGTACCCTGCCCTGTTGATGAAGTAAACGAATTAATAGCGAAATCGTGGGAGCAGGAAATTGTCACAACCGACTGGAGCCGCTCGGTTATTGTCCCGATCTTCAAAAGACGCTCGCGTTCGGAATGCGAACAACATATAGGAATCCGTCTGACAATCATCGCCTCCAAATGACTTGCCTCTTTAATCCTTTACAGACTGTCTGGCGCTCGTGAAAACCAGACTGGTGCGAAGAAAGCCGGATTCCGTCGGGGTACATTGAACTCATCTTCACTTTGCGTCAATCGTTGGAGCACCGTCACACATATTGTTAGCCCACCGTTGGTGTGTTCCTCGACATCATGGGTGCTCATGATTCGGATGATCGATGTGCCCATTGGGACTGTCTATTCAGGTGGGTTGTGTCTGCGAAATTTGTAAATATTATCCGCACATTATACACACGTTGCATGGGCAGTGTGAGGGTTTACGGCAAGCTGTCGCTACCCTTCAGCAACTTTAACTGTGTGAGACAAAGATACCCGCTGTCACCTCTCCTCTTTAACTTCGCTATTGGTAAATGCGTAGAACTCGCATGCGCAGGACAACACATAGAAGGTGTGGAGCTACTCCTAGGAGAACGACGCCTTGACTTGGATTAAACTGACGATATTGCCCTCATCTGTAACAGCTCCCAGACGTGCTAAGCTTCACTGGACAGACAAGCACTGGCTGACAGCCGCTTCGGGCTTTACTTTGCACCATCGAATTGCAAAGTTTTGCTCTAAGATAGACAGGGATCGCCTCATGCGCTGAGACTTTGTGGGGATCAGATAAAAGTCTTCCGTAAATTTAACTACCTGGGAAGTTGTATAAGCTCCCTTTAGATTGAAGGTGAGATCACGAAATGTATAGCAAATTCTCGATGTGGTTTTGCTAGCCTACGCCACCTACGGCGCCGGCGCGACATCACTCTCACCCTAAATGGTAGACTTTGCAATGCAGCAGTACCTTCGATCCTAATGTACGGTTGTGAAACCTGGCCCCTTAGATCAGTGGACATAATGTGGCCAGATACGTTCGACCACCGGTGCTTTCACCATTTGCCTCACATATGGTGAGAAGACCACATGAGCAACGAGCGTGTTCGACACATTATGTTCCAGGAAAGGGAACTGAACCGCTCAGCAACGTCATTTCACGCACCAGGCTCAGATGGCAAGGCAACGTGTTACGCATGTCAGCCAACCGGCTTCCGCGATGTGTGTTGTTTGCTCACCAGCGATGTGGATAAAAGAAGCGAAGTTCTGGCCAAGCGATGAGTTGGTCGAGAGGAATCAAGGCCCTCACTTTGAAGCAGGCCTCGGTTGGAGCGTCACAGCTCCCTAATTGGTGTCTAAAATATGATGAACACCTTTGGCTGGATACCCGTGCTTACATGGCTAGGAGGCAACCACAGTGGCTTTCATGCTGTGATTTTCTTTGTCTTTCCCCATATCTTTTAGTCTCCCTTCCAAACACGACCTGATTTTGTAGCCTAACAGCATTTCACGTTATATTTTTTGTTGCCTTACAGCCGGCTGGTAGCTTTCCGGAACGAAAACTATCCGTTGCTGGTACCTCAGCCGGCATGCAACTGTTACAGTTACTTTAGTTTTTATTTTAGATATGGTGGCACAGTACCAGAGGTGTTTTACACCTCAAGCTAACGTGCATAATGCTGCTAAGGATGATGCTTTATCTTGAGAGCTAACATGGTCTAGGCTCCCATAATGATAAGTATCCTTCCCGCAAGCACTAACCTTCGTTACAGCACTCCAGGGAGATTGACTTGGCGCCTACCAGCCATGGACACAAATCGGTCGTATCGCGATCAGTTACTGCTGAAGAGGTCGTGTTCAGCCTGCCTCACAATTTGGAGCACGAACGTGGACTAAGATCACGTTTTTGTGTGTACCCACCATCGGGTGCGTTTCCGCGGACGCCCGGAACATCGCTGTGAAGGCACTGACGCCACCAAACTGGCGAAGTTAAGTGATTCGAATGCGTATCAAACTACCTTAACATCCATGTTGATTAGCCTACCACGAAACACGACCGATCATCCCTTTACTAGCAGCAGGCATGTCTTCATGCTGCAAATTAAAATGCCAATCTGGATTTTTGGATGCTCAGGAAAGAATACAATGTGCCTCGCAAAAAATCTGAGGGCAAAACTGGGCACTAGCCTAAAGAGAGCCAGCGAAGCCTATTGGTCTTATCGTGCAACGGAAATGGAAAAAGCCGCTGCCGTTGGTAATCATCGTAAGTTATTCCGTCTGATGGGGGAACCAGACAGCATGGGACGTGGTGTTAGCGAGACTATGCGCGACTAGAGTGGACAGACAATCAACGACCTGCCAAAACGCTTGAAGTGTTGGGCCCGACGAGTTGAAAGGCCGTTTAACTATTCGGGATTATCGCTTTCATCGTCGGCATTAACTTCATTCTTCCATGAGTCGTTTCAATAGATCCGCCCTCACGTGCAGTAGTTGAACGTGAGATCAGAATGTTGAAATTGCATATGCCCCAAAGGGCAGATGGAATTCCCCTAATCCTCTATAAATCCGGCGGATCTGCTCCAGTAGTTGACTTACACGGGTTGTCAGTGGACTTTTGGGACAGGGAAAAGTGCCGACAGACTGGAGCCGCTCCATCATAGTCCCAGTTTTTCAAGGGAGGCTCCTGTTCGGAATGCGGAAAGCATAGACGGATCAGTCTAGTCTCGGTTGCTTGTGGATCTTAAGTAAGCCATAAGGTCTCGGAATCACTTCTACTAGATATGGCATATTCAATTGCTTGGGTCGTTCGTTCTCCAGAGACTGACTAGCACACGTGAAGAGCAAGCTTGACTTCGTCGAGGTCTGAGCTGCACCGACCACATCGCTTTGCATCAATTGTTGGAGCACCACCATGTTTGTTGGTGACCCAACGTTGTCGTGTTTTCTACGTAAAATATGCCTTCGATTTGGTGGAACGATGTATTGTTTGCGTCTGTCTGCTGTGGAAAGATGTGCCCAAGAAATATGTAAACATTATCAGAGTGCTATATTCACATTTCCCGGGCAGAGTGCAGGTTAATGGCAAACTGTCGCCGCCCTTTCGATATCTCCAGCAGTGTGAGACAAGGTTACCTGCAGTCACCTTTCCCGTTTAACTACGCCATCGACTAATGCATGGAAACAATATTCGCTGGACAGGATCAGGAAGGTGTGGAGCCATTTCGCGGTGAGCGACTTCTTGACTTTTGGTAGGCGGACGATATTGCCCTAATTTGTGACAGCTCCCAAACATTCCAATCAGCACTGGACGGATTAGCACTGGCTGTCAATCGTTTGGGCTATACTGTGCTCCACCCAAATGCAAAGTCCTACTCCAAGATGGGCAGGAACCCATCACTGCGCTGATCCTTGGTGGTGATCAGCAAGAAGTCGTACAAGAATTCAAGATCCTAGGCAGCTATATTAGTGTCCGTGGGATTGAAGTTGTGGTAACGAACCGTATACCAAAAGCTAGAGTTGCTTTTACAAACCTCAGCCACCTGTGACGCAGACGCGACATCGATCTCTATATGAAAAGCAGATTTCACAATGCAGCCGTCTTTTGAACATACTTATTCGGTTGCGAATTCTGGCTCATCAACTCTACAGACAAAATGGCTAGTCATGATCGATCATCGGTGTTTCAGCGCTCCAAAATACATCTTCACACCCTCAGTCCTCTTGCTTCATTTCCTGCCCCGGACTCTCGGTTTTAGCATGTACACTTAGACCTAGTAGATCCATTGCCTCCTTTACGCTTATTCCTATACATTCTTCCATGTGTCGACCGCTTCACCAGATGGCCAGAAGCTATTCCCGTAACAGATTGCACAGCTGAGACTGTTATCCGGGCCTCCTTGGAACGGTGGGTCTTGCCCTACGGATGCCCATCCACCATTATAACTGACCGAGGTCCGCCTTCGGAACCTTCACAATACGATACGTTCCGCAATATTTAGGCTGCCGCCGCATTCATACCACAGCGTATCACCCAGCAGCCAACGCGTTAGTTGAAGGTTTCCATAGACAGTTTAAAGCCTCGCTCCGCGCCTCCTCCCACCCTAGCTGGAGCAAAAACAGTTCGCCTGCACTCTTAGGCATTCGCAGCAGCATCAAAGCTGACTTGCAATGTGCACCAGCAGAGCAAGTTTACTGCACAACACTAATGTTGCTTGGAGAATTCGTTTCAAAACCCGCATCGTCGGGTGTGCCTCCGCCTAACTTTGTGTCCTCTCTAGGTCAACGCATGCGTTCTCCATGCCCAACTCCGTCCCGTGAACAGACTAGAGATGTGCAACTGCACAGAGGACTCTCTACCTGCACTCACGTCTTATCCGCATTGATGCAGCGCGGCGCCATCACCAGCCTCCTTACACTGGCCCTTTCAGATTATGACTACGAACATCCAAACATTTCACTAGACCAGAATGGTCACCGAACAACGGTGTCCATCGACTGCCACAAACTGGCTTTGTTTGACAAACCACTTGCAAGCCATCCTGCGGCTACCACACAAGCACCCGCACTTGTGGTGACATCCCGAGCACTGGATATCCCAAAATCTTTCGTTCCCCTTGACCGTCAACCTATCCCGCCTCAACCCCAGACAACCAACCGACGAGGTATGAAGGTCAAATGTCCGGTCCGTATTCAGATTTTGTAAACGGTTGCCATTTCCATTAACACGCCATTTTTCTGTAGTTGTAATCGTGCGTCTCATCCACAAAAGTTTAACAAAATCGACAAAAATCCAATTATGTTGAAAACTTAAAGTATACATTTGCATTTAGCATGCATGCCAAGTACCCATTCTGACGCCGAGCCACTTACCCGACTGTTGCCCGCCCCTCTGAATCGTACCTTCCATAAAGGCAACCGTCGGAACTGCAAAGACAACCCT